TCATTGGGCTTGTTCGTTTTAGCTACACTGGGGCTGCTCTGGGTCTGCTCTACACAGGATAATACAGGACAGATAAATAGTTTGTCCTGTATTATCTTGTTTAGAGCAGACCCAGAGCTGCCCCAGTGCAACTAAAACGAACAAGCCCATTTTTAATAATTGACGTGTTACACATGTACGCTATACTATACTATATACGCTATAATTCTCCATCGAGTAGGAACCAAAATGGCGGATGAGAATACCTACATATCTAGTGCCTTAGTTAAAGTTAACCGACGTTGGAAAAAGTGGCCCCTAGTCGAGTAACTCTCAAATATTTTAGGGCTCTGATATATCGATATATATTATGTATGTAATATATATATTTAATTATATTATTATGTATGTAATATATATATTTAATTATTAATAAAAATAAACATTATTTACGTAGCGAAGAAAATGTTACGATTTCCTAAAAATTGCCTAAACAACCCAGCCTATTTTTAATATAAAACGCTACTGAGCTATCGGCGGCTCGGTCGCCAGTGGCCAGACGATAGTGAAGGAACAGAAGACCAGGGTTTCAACCAAGATTTATAGAGAGAAGGATACCTTATGCGCAAAGAGGAACGAGCGGCAAGAGAGGTAAATGCTGAGCGGGGCGAGCGGCAAGAGGGGCAATGATGATCTCATCGGCAAACAGTAGCTGTCTCTCTCGCACGCTTTAGTATTTTCTCTCTCGCTTTTTTAATATAGAAATGCTTTGAATTTTTATCGAAAAAATACTTTTATTTTGTAAAATATTGAAAGCACTGGAAATTGCGTAATAAAAATTGAAAAGTAAATTAGAAAGGCGCTATAAATTACATATATTGCAAATTATGGCGCTAGATATTTAACATTTATAATGTTAAATATCGCTGCAACAGATGCATTTGTAATACAAATTGCTTTGTACTCGTATTTAGACTGTAATATCAATGAAAATAAAATATAATTTGGGGATATACACAAAAAACATCATTTGTAAAGTAGTAAAATAAAAGAAAAATAGTACATATTTAAAATTATTTTTAAATAATATTTACTGTTTATATGCATTATTTACAAAAGAAATACTATAAAGAAATTTATTTTTATATTAATTGTGAAAACCTAAAAAATTGTCAAGAAATTGTAACTGAAATTCAAATGTAAGTACAATTCTAGGATAATATAAAAAGCATCATACACAAATTTATTATGATACAAACTTAAATAATGAAATTGTAATATATCTTTCAACATTGCAAATGTGAATATTTATATGATAAAATTTCCAAAGTGTTAACAATTTTCAAATATTTGCTAATAAAATATTATTGAAATGTTTCTGTTGAAATCTTAAAATAATTCTTTAAAACAAATATGATGGGGTATATATTAGGCATCATTAAATATGCGGCAACATTGTGATTATAAAATTTTATAAGTATCTATAATAAAAATTAAGTATAATAAATATAATAAGTATATAAGTATAATAATAAAATTTTTATAAGTATCTATAATAATAAAAATACATATATGTTGTATTAATCTGTTAATATAAAAAAATTATTAATTAATTTAACGCAAATAAATTTCTTTATATTAACAG